ATTTATAAGCGATCTTTATAATCATAATCATCATCATTATCATCATGAACAAAATTGCACTCAAACACCAACAAATCCCACATTAATGTCATTTTAATTTTCAAGTAATCTCATTAATTGTTCTTGTTTATTAATAGTTGAATGTTTTAACTGATATTTTCTCACTAATAATGGACGTGAACGTTCCATTACTATTCTACCAATCTGTACAAAGAAAAAAAGAGACATTGAATGTTTATTAAATACATTATATAAATTTATATACAATACTTTTGGATAAGGTGGTGCTGATGTTCGAAGTAATGCTTTTTGATGTTTTAATTCATTCATTATTTTTTCTTGTCGAAGTTTTTCTTGACGTTCCATTGTTCGTATAGCAATTTCACGAAACTAACAATATGATAAAAGAATATTTAATATGATTTATTTTTCTAAAGATACTTTTTCAGCTTCCATAACGACAGATGAATCCATGTGTTCAATTATATTTAATAAAGATTTAGTTTTGTTTTCAATTGTTTGTAACATATGAATTGTTGATATACCAATATCATCAGAAATAACATGTTGTTTATATAAAATTTCAATAGTTTTGTTTATTTGTTCAATAAATGGATCATTTTTTTGATTTTTATATTGTCTAGAAACAATCAATTGATAAAATAGGATTTTTGTTTTGAACAAATAAAAAAGAAAAAAAAGAAAAAGATACATCAGTGTATTTTGACAAGAAATTTCACGTTCATTTTCATGTTTAATTAATTCTTCTAATTGATCGATTTTGATTTGAAGTTGTTCAACTTCATGATTTTGTTCAGTAATTGTATTATTTATAGTTGAATGTATTTTATCGAGTATTTCAGATGTATATTGACTTTTTTCAACAAGTGGTAAAGATTTTTCTTCCATTTCAGTGAATATATCAAGTAATTGTTCAGGTTTAGTAAAATAAAGCGAATAATTCTTGTTATTACAGAAAAAAAACAACAACAACAACAACAACGAATCAATAAGTTTTAATAATTATTGATGAGAATTATACTTCATTGATAAATATATTAGAATCATTATACAATTCAATATCGTTCTGTTCAATTGGAATAGACCTTAGTAGAGATGAGTAGTTTCAAAGAAAATGAATAAATAATTATACAAACATTATTGTTGAAGATTTAATATTATCAATAGGTTTATTTTCGATATCTATCGTATATAAAATGTAGATAGATAATAATTCTGTAAACTATTTATCTTATTCAAGACTAAGATATTTTCTGGGCTGCTCAGAAACGAAATGATCAGTAACAATATTATCTTACGTATAGATTCTAGTTGTTTGAGAATATCAACACGCCATTCCTATGTATATATTAATTAATTTAAATAAGAAAAACAATTCTATTTGAGATCTAACTTGAGGTGCAAATTTAAAAAGAAATTGTTGATAACGATGTGATTGTTTCAATATATCTGTTAAATGATTTTGATCATTACGATAACTAATAAGAGTTTTTTGTAATCGTTTTATTTCATTGACTAATTCATCTTTTTTACGTGATTCTTCATCAACTCTGGAAAAAAAAACAAACAAATTCATTTAATAAATCTTTTCGAAACAATTAGAAAACTACCGAAAAGCTGCATCATTAGCACTTCGATTACATGTATCAAGAAATTGATCAAATAAAGCTAAATCTTCTACAATATGTTTTTCAGCTTTAGCTAATGCATTTTCTTCTTGACGTAAATGATTTTCCCAATGTTCAATTTCATCATGTTTAATATTAAGAGTATACTTTATTCAAAAAAAAAGAAATTATTTATTAGAATTTATTTGAAAAATATTTACTTGTAATGTAAATATTTCATGATTTTTTCGAAGATAATCTTGTAAACTTTTTCGTTCTCGTCGTCGATCTATGGGAAACAAAAAAAAAAAAAAAAAACAAAGAGGATTGAATAAATAATACAAATTTTACTTTGAATATGAGTAATAATCCATAATCGATCAGAATTTGTTAATAATTGATTATATTCATTTGACTTAAAATAAAATAAATAGAATAATAAAATAAATTCAATATTAACTACTAATGAATCTGTTTGATTGAGAATTTCATTATGACAAAAATTATTTTCATCAATATTTTTTCCATTAAAATAATTGTCTCGTTTCTGAATACAATAAAAAAAAAAGAAAAAGAATTTAAAAAATATTGATCGATTATTTATATACTTTACTATTTCTTTCATGTTCTTTATTTTGTAATTCACATAAATTAAATTGAAGATTATGAAACAATGGATCGTTTTTATTCTGCTTCGTCTCTATTAATAATATCTTTATTATTTTCATTGATATTTCATTTACAATCTACCTGATAATCTATCATCTTCTTTCAATAATTGTTCTATTTTTTTCAAAACCATAATTTATAGTTGAGTTTTAATTAAATATAAATGCCGCCATATCTTTTATTTCTTTTACTCACAATTCGAACATCTAAGAATAAATATATAGATCCAAAGATAGATTTTATAACTTGTTTTTCCATTGATTACAATTTCCCAACATAGCATAGCCGAAACGAGCCGTTTGCAATTAATTGACAATCGAAAGATTTTTGGATAAGATATTTGTTCATCTTGGATCCGCTAGAAAGTTTTTCCGACAAGTAAAAAGCTATGATTTCGTGCTCTTTTTGGATATGGGCTTGAAAATTTTGTCTTAATCTTTGTTCGAGAGTACAAAATCCACTATTTGAATTATTTTTGTCTTCCGACAAGGCACCTCAATTTTCGTTTTTCTTAAATAATCATTTTTGAAAAATCGACAACTGCTTTATGTCAAAAGGGACTCTTGAAAAAATGCGTGCAGCTTCATTTGGGTAAAAGCTACAGCTTAGTTCAATATCAAATTTTGTAGAGAAGTGTCCACTCTACAAAACGACCGACAACGACAATTTTTGTCATAGAGTAAACAAAAACCTATTGTCTCATCATTAAAAATTATTTTTCAGGTCTTTCAAAAAATCTCTCACCACTCTTGAACAAAAATAGACGAGATATTTTTAAGCTTGTATTCAAATTCTGATCGCGACCTATAGCTTAAATGTTTTCGCTGTGCTAGGAAAAAATCTGCTTTTGAGAAATGTACTAATAAGTTGATCCTCTCAAAAAAATGTCAAATAAATGGTTCTAGAATAGGGGTAAGAGATTGTTTATGATTTAGAGCCCATAATAATGATAGAAATTGAATGAAATGTAGGAGAAACATTACATACCATTTTATAACATTGAAAAAATGCTAAATTTTTATGTTACAGCCAGAAGTGATAGCCTTTAAAGAGCATTTATGAATTTCATCTTTAGAAATAAAAACTTAAAAGTTTCCTCTCTCAGATAAAAAAAAGCTTTGATCAGTAATTGAGTTACACGCATTTATTAGTTGGACATGACTTTTGGGATATCCTGTATAATAAAATCAAGTTATCGAAAAATTCAAAAGTAGTGTCCTGAATGAGTACGACTTTTCGCAACAGGACGACCTGAATCGACACTTTTTTTTATAGTCGAACCTGAATCGGACTCGGATATCTGTACCTAATACTCGACCTGAGCTAATCGATCAATTTCGCTAAGTATAAATTTGCTTGTTGTTGATGACGTTGATCTGTAAAGCAGTTCTGGTGTCAAACATCATAATTGTCAAAACATACATAAATGCTTTTTCCATCGTGGTTGTACGTATTCACATATTTAATAATTCATTTTCCTCTATCCATATATTCAGTTACTTCGTCATATAGTTCACCTTCATCTGTAGATGAGTTTTCATTAAAACCGAATCCTTTCAGTAAAACAATATCACTTTTCACTTCTGTTATCTGTTCTCAAGTGCAAGAAATTGCTCAAGCATAATAGAATCGGTTTTCACTACTATATTTTTATATAAATTAGTAGTTTGAAAAAAGTAAAAATATTTTGAAATGTTAAGATCTCATTAATTGCCAGGTACCGGATTTGCTTGCATAACACTACTTCTATCGAAGAAAAATAGGAGTCGACATTTGTCCAATTACCTTTTTTTATCATTTATTATTTTGTTTGTTAGTTTGATCAAAATGTAAATATCCTTTTCTATGTTCTTATATATTTGATATACAGCACCAAGCAAAATATTATTTCTTTCTACCATGTTGTGTCATGATAAATCATTATAACTGTTGTTATTTTATATCCATGGATATACATTGGCTATGACAAACAAGTTTAATGCATTAGACAGCGGAAGAAAAAAAAGTGCACATGTATTCATTTAATAGAGGTTATAATAACAATCAAGATTGTAATAACACAGTTATGAGATGTTCACCTACTTGAGATACATTTTCAGTACAAATCGTTCTGTAACATTGAAATTTTGTTCAAAATAGGGAATATTCTCTAATAGAAGTTTTAATTTACTTTACTCATTGATCTATCTTTTACATATTTATACATAAAATAAAAAACTAATCATTTGATTATATTTCAAACGAATTTTATTTCAACATCAACAGACAAATATATAGAAAGATTAAAATTAAAATTAAATGAATAAATAATACGTGACTTATTCTTAGGCATGTATATATATATATTTTTTTCTTCTTCTTCAAACAAACACCATTGCTTATGAAAATTATTATTATAGAAAAAGAGAAAGAAAGGAAGAGACTCACTCAAATATTGCTAGTCAAATGCAATTAATGGATAAACTGAATGAATTCATCTAATAGAGAAACGAAAAAACAAAAAAGACGTTTAAGTTCTTATTACATATGTATGGAATGATAATCACATATGAGCGAGAATTAAAATGTTTTTTTTTTGTGAAATAAAAAAGAAAAAAGAATAAATTGAGAACAACACTGACAAAAAAAAAAAGAAAAATTCACTCGTTCACACGCACAAAGATTTTATGAATTAAAGAAGAATTTTTTTTTTTTGTATTTTGTTTATTGCGCTCCTTCTTGACTATCATCCGCGTCTAAACCACGTGTAACTTTACTAAAATCAAATGGTTCACCCATATAACGACGATAAACATCAAGAATATCTAAACATGTCGATTCAAAATGTGTTGTTGCATCATATGAACTTGTAATAAAAAGCTAAAAAAAATAAATTGTTTTTTTTTTTAATAGAATTTTATAAATAAGATAATATTATTATATTACTTTGCTTGTTGTACCATCATCAATTGGTTCATATAAATCACTAACACTAACAAATTTTTGATAGATTGGTTCAAGAAGTGCAAGTCCAGGTTTGATTTCATTTTCTGGATTATTTGTTTCAACAGTTGTACTAACTAATGCAACATACCAATCTTTTGGTGTAACCATATTTGATTGACCCATACAACAAACATAAATATCTGTAAAAAAAAATATATATATATATTTTTTTTCTTCTATTTCAAATTAAATAAATTTTTAATTTTACCATTATGACGTTGTACTTGTTTTTGAGGTATAATTATTTGTATTGAAATAGGTGATGCATTTGAACCAACACTAACAGGATGTCGTAAAAGACAAACAGCTCGAATAACACGACCAACTTTTTTCACTTTATCTGGTGCATATGATGGATCACATATAACAGCTTTACATCGAGCTGTTTGATCACCTGATCGAACGCCAACAACAACACCATTTTCATATACGATTTCATCAGCTGGTTTATCAAGCATATATGTTCCACCATATATAGCACTTAGACTAAAAAGAAAAAGAATTTTTGTTTTTCATTGGCAATATTAAGAAGACTAATAAATGAAATTTATTAGGTTGACGATGGAAGGTTTCCTGTCAATCGAATTGATATTTTACCAATAAGTAAGACACGATAAGTGTAGAGTCTGCTAATCATTGAATGCAAAAATCTAGGAAAAAGTATCTTGTATCTTCGAGACAACTATTCAAATCTGACTAGAAAATTCTATTAAGAGTATCAAAGAACCGTTCAACTAGATCCGAGTCGAAAAATTTTGGATTCATTAGACTTAAAAAATATTTCATTCTATTAATTATGTATTTTGACATCATCAAATGGAATATTATAGTCAAAAGCAAGATAACTAATTTAAGATATTTTTTTGTTTACCGTGCAAAACCTTGTGGTAATTCACCAAGTCCATAAAGTGGATAAAGATAAGGTGATTTACCATAACGTGCCAATGATTCACTGTATAATTTAATTCGTTTGATTGATTCAAGAGCTGGTTTTTCCAAATAACTAAATTTAAAAAAAAATTTGATTGTAAATAAAAGTTTTTTTTTCTAATTCTATTAATTTACTCATCATCACTATGAAGTGCTAATGCATGACCAGTAAAATCAATTGTATCTTGATCAAGACCAAATTTTTTAAATGCATCAATCATACGTGTATTTGGTGGTACATCTTTATATGTTTTAGGATCTTTTTCATCATATTCATTAATCCATACAAGTAAATTACGAAAACGACGTTTTTCAAAAAGACCCATCAATGCTACAAAACAAAAACAAAAAAAACTTTACAAAAAAAAAGAAGAATTCAATTGCTTTAAATCTTACATGATCCAAGTGCTTCACGTTCATCGGCTGGAACTTTATGAATTTTTTGTCCTTTGTATACATAACTGCCTTCAATACATTTAAATTCTAAATAACGTGTTACACCTGTATGAATTAATAATTTTACTAAAAGACCTATGATAAAAATAGAAAAAAACAATTTCGTTTTTTATCTTATTTTATTTGTCTTTCTTGTTTTACCATTGGCCATAAGAAATTTTGGAATTAAATCAACATTCCAATCACGACCACGTCCTGTATCTGATGGTGGTGATGGTAAATTAAATTTTGAATAAAGCTTTGCAAAAATTTATATGTAAAAAATTACAAAAAAAAAAAATACATAATTAAATAAATTATTTACTTACATCTTCTAATGGTGTCATTGATGCTGATTCACCACCATAATATTTATTACGATCCATATGTAAAATTTTCTTGCCGGCTACACCAAGTAAACCAGCTAATACACATTCCTATAGAATAACCAAAACAAAAACTTTTGTTTCTAATTAAATTCTTTGATTTTAATTTCATACCTTTAAACCAGTACCTAATAAGATAACATCATACTCTTCATCCATGATAATATATTTTTGTCAGATGATACGATAGAAGATTAAATTGACTAGTTGGTCTGAAAAAGAATGATAATGATGTATGAAGGTAACATATAAATCATAGAACGATATAGAAACGCGTCAATTCTTGAATAGTAAGGTGATGAAAATGTTTATTCACTATAGTCAACATTACTTTAGCACAGGTGTCGAATGCAAGTAGCGACAAATGCATTATTTTAACACACTTTTGATCTTGATTATTTTCGTCCTTTTTAGGGCAATAAGTATTGAATTTTGATTGGTATCAGTATTTTAGAAATAACGACATCTTTAAAAAGATATTAAATAAATTATCATGAAAAAAAAAGAAAAATGAATATTTGTAAAAATCGATTTTTTTATTTTTTAATACAAAAAAAAACTTTAAATTAATAAAATCTTTTTCAATTGTCGCTACTATCAATTGTACAAGTTCTTTTGCAACCAAAATTCTCTACCACACACTGATACAAATTTTCATATCGGCAAAATTCTATTGCAAAAGATATTTTTCTTGTTTTTACATGAATTCAATTATCAATATCTTTCCATATGTCAATTGTATAATATTATACTCTAATTGGAAATTATCTTGATTAGATTAAATAATATATTCTTCGATGAAAATGACTTACTAATCAAGTAAAGTAATTTGATTAAATTAATAAATGAAATATATTTACCAAAAAAAATTCTATTCAGAAAATTATGCAAATATGGATCAATTCAAATTGAATGAAATATGATCGATTGCGACTGAAAAATTGTCGGAATTTGAACGTAGAAATTCATTGATCGGATTTCCGATCGAAAGCAGAGTTTTCTGCCCGAAATTCACCACTAGAAATAATAATATATATATATATATATATATAACATTAGTAAATCAAGATTTCACTTGTTTATTTAATGTTAAATTATCATCATTTATAGAATGAATTATTTCTCAATATTATTTGTCTTTTATTATTAGCTAATTCAATATTATTAAATAATTTTAAAATATGTATAGAGCTATATTTTTTCTAATATGAAATATAAATTTTATTTTATTATCTATTTAATATTCTTCTTGTTTAATAATAGTTCATACATCAATAGAATTTGCTAACAATAACAGAAGAAAAATCATTCATGGTAGAGATATAAATAAATAAATGATTTATTCGAAATGTTTTTTTTTCTTCTATTAGAACCAACTAAACAATACAAAATTTATATATTGGTAATGAATAATGAAAATAGTCTAATGGTAAAAAGAAAAGTTTTATGAATTGATTGGTTACTAGTTCGATACTATACATTATCTATTAAAATGAATTGAGTCGATGATTATATCTATCTTGATTTCTCGACTATTACTGAGAGGATCTTTTATGTATTAGCTCAGTATGAGACTCAATTTATTTATTATTAAATCAGTTTTTTTTAAGAAGAAAATTTATTAGAATGTAAAATTGTTCATGTTTACTTTTGCACATACATATTCGTCTTATGACATTGAAGTAGTCTTATCATTTCCTATTCATACATGATTAAAAATATTAAATTCTGAAAAAGATTTTAGCAGTATAAAATCAAGTGTTGTTAGATGATTAAAAGAAAATGTGTTTCTCATTTTTTGTTCGATATTGAAAATGAAAACAACTCATAATTAGGATAGAAAGTCAAATGAAAAGTAGTATCATAATGCTTGTGTCCGACAGTCATTTCTATTTAGTTATGATCATTTCCTGTCGGAAACGAAAAAATCCAGACATCGTATTCCTGTTTTCGCCCTTCTACCATTTTCTGGAATATTCCATACGGAACCGGTTGTACATCATTTACTTAGGAAGATGAGAATTAAAATTTCGAATATTTCTTTTGATATTGAATGAATGAGTGAAAGTATTTCGGAAGGCTCGGAAATTATTAAATTTATTTAATTAAGTTAAAATTAGTTCTTTCGAGTATTATGTTCTTGTTATAAAAATTAGTTTAGTATCTGTTTTAATCAAATTGATTAAAGTTATTATTATTTTTTTTATTCAGAATGCTAACTCATCCATCAAAAATTTTCTTCCGATTCTATCGATCATTTTTCTATTGAAACTATTATATATTTTCAAGTAAACCAGAGAGAAAATAATTGTCAAATAAGAAGTTAGTCTTGTATAAATGCATAAGTCTACTATTCAAACAAAAAAAAACTATTGTATGATTATAGAACGATGAAAAAGATTTTTGAGTTTTGGAAAACTATTCTCATAGTTGAATTTTCTTAAGCTAGCTCATTGTAATAATAATAATTATTAGAGTGAATAAGAACTTCATTGATTTCTCTATATTATAAAATCTTTCTATTGTACATACTATTTGAATTTTTTCTAATAAATTAATTGTGACAGATAATTTATATTTTTCTTTCAAATAAATAAATCATTTTTGAATGTTTTGTTTTACATCATGAGTCATTCAGATCTTGTGTTCTAACAGGCTGAAAAACTTTCCAATATTAATTTTATACATTAAAAATATCGATCAATATGTAGAGTAATGTTCGACAATAATTTTACCCATGGCTATGAACTTCACATAGTTTGATATTGAATTAATTTGTGATATACAATAGCCAAGGAAGTTAATTCGTTGATCTGAATATTTGACTATCAGTACAAACATCTCAACTGGACATTATTTAAATGCATATGTGGCGGAGTCATGACACTTCGATAGACTCCAATATTTGTTTCTCATTCCATTAGATTGATAGACTCATATATAAACATCAAAATTTTCAACGCCTTCAGCAGTAAACAGTAACATTTGCATTGTGAAGTAAACTTCAAAATTGTCCTTGAGGAAATATTTACTTTCGTATGACTAAATATTGGACATTACACACATTGCCCATAACTTTAAATAGCACTCCAAGTTTTATACGAGAATATCGAGTTAGATAAACTACTTTCTTCATCTTCAGTAGTTAAATTTACATGTGTAAGAAACATTTTCAATAAAGTAAGCAAACCCTAAAATATAATTCCTTTTGTGAAGGTTGTTGCTTTGCTATTATTCTATTTTTCAATAAATTAAATTGACAACTTTTCTTTTAAGAGTCGAAATAAAATAAAAACAAATATTGGTATGTTTTTTTTAAGTGCACATTTTTTATACCAATTGTGAATTTTTTGTGAATCATAACAATTTTATACAGTACAAAATATAAGTTGGAAATAATGAGTGATATTTTTCAATCTGTTAAAAAGAAGTCTGTAGAAATTTGAAAACATTCGGTTAGAATGAAAATTTTTGTTTCCAAATATGGGTAAAAAATTTTTTCTAGAACTTTCGCATTTACAAGTATGTTTTCCGTAGAAATCGAAAAAATTGACATAGTGTTCCTTATCCAAAATACTTACTGTTGGTCAATGATTTGTAGCAAACTAATCAATAATGTACCATTTTATAGAGAAATATGTGCTCTTTCATTCTCTGTACTTGAACTGATTTTTGCTTCTATATTGAATAATTTTTGACGTTCTGAATTTCGTCTAAACTTAATTTATGCATCTTTAAAAAGTTCGACTTATAATTTCTAAACGAGTAGTCCTACAAAATTTTTCAATTCATATCCAGAAAGAATATAAAATTCTGTAGGCGCGACCGAGAAGTTAATGAACATTTTGTCGAATTATTTTTTCGATCATCCGTTAAGAAGCATCAAATGTATTTCATTTGAATAGCAAAAAACAAATTCATCTCTCCTTATTCTTAACTTTTTGGCGAGGATCTTATGAAAATTATTGAGCTTATCTTAGATTCAAAATATTTCACCGCCTATGTCTCATTTCTAATAAAGTTCAATGTATGCAATAAAGAATTAGTTTATCCAAAAAGCAAAAAGAAATTGATGTAAGTCTTAGAGTATTAGTGAATAACAAATAGGATAAATCCTAAAGAGAATTTAGAGAGTTCAATTTTATTGATAAAATATTTTACAACTGAATTATTTGTAATTTTATTTAACTATTTTTCTATGATTTATAAAATTTAATGTTCCAAAAATTTTTTACATAGAAATCTTTGTAAATCATGGCTTTTTTATCTGATATTTAGGCTTCTACATCAAAATATTGAAGCAAGAATATTTCTAAGGAATCAAGAATACTTTTATAGTTTAATACTATTTACTTTACATTTTAGATTTTATAAGCTTTTTCTTATAAATCGAACATGACAAGCTTTCATCGTTAAGGTAATTTTGGCTTTTTTTTTGTCCTATTTGTTCTTATTTCTTTTCTTCTTTTTTTTCTATATAATAGGCTCTATTAAAAATACGTACTTAACCACGGTACGATATAGACAGCTGACTACTTGAATTTATATGTATATTAATATGATCACTTAATTCAATTTTTGTTTATTTATTTTTATAAAGAATAGATTTTATTTTACTATTATTAGATATAAATGAAAATAATTTTTACATATGTTAAGAGTAATAATGAATGGAATAAGATTTTTATCATGTGAAATTTAATAGAATAGTAAATATGATGTCACAAAAGTATAACAAAAGAATACGAATAAATATGTAAGTAGAATACGTTTTTTAGTGCTTAGATGATGAAAATTTGGAAGCTTGTTAAAACATTAGGTAATCGTTAGTAGTTGAAAGACACATCATAAATTTATTTTATTTCTTTTTTTTTTTAAAGAAAGAAAATCGATGAGGGACAATATAAGTTTAATAGAACGACTGATTACATTACTTCTTTTTTTTTCTTCTTCTCGTGTCGCCTTCATTCGTGTACCTTTTTTCTTTCTGATTTATTCTCTTGACTACTGCAAACTAATACAAATATTCATTCATCGTCATAATTTTTAATCGAACATAGATCGATGATTATTGTAGACTTTAATTCTTCTTTTCAAAGTATACCCTATCGGTAAATGTATATCAATGTTGATCAAGTTATTTTATTTGTCATGAAAGAAAAAAAAGTGTATATATATATATATATTTCAATAGAAATAGAAACAAAATAAGAGAAATAAAAGTTCTATTTTTTTCTTTTTTTTTTTCTTCTTTTACTTGATTTATTGTTTTTTAGATGCTCCATGTTCAGGTGGATCACATGTACTTGCCAGCGACCATTTCATTATCGACGATCTATTATATATCCATTAATTACATTTATGATAACAACTGGTCTTCTATATGGACTTGTTGAACATTATACATTCACAACACATTTTATAAGTTCATCATTTTATTCGAATGTACTATTTTTTATTAATATAGAAATTGAATTTGATTTAGTTCTTCTTTTTTTGTTTTAGTCTACTTCTTTCAATTTACAATGTAAATTAAGTAATGAAACAATACGTGCCATTAATTTAGCATCGAATGATTATTGTAAAAATCTATTAAAAAATATTTCATGTAAAATTGATTCAATTTCAAATTTTTTTCCTAAATCATTACCACGTTTTTGTCCTATTCAAAGTAACAACAACAAAATAGATCTTACTATTATTTATTTTAATTTTATGTTGTTTTTTTTACTACAGAAGGGAATTTTGGTGATGTTATTGGTTGTGCATTAAATGATGAGAATTCGACACATCATATAAACAAATCACAAATATTCGATAGTGATATTATGTGTATTGATTATTGTTTAAAACATAGTGTTTCATTTGCTGGTAAAGTTTAATTGAATATTCAAATTAGAAATAAGATTTTAAATTGTACTTTTAACATGCTATATAGTCTTATAAAATGATCAAAAATCAAAAGAACGACATAGTAAAGTGTTTCTAAAAATAAAACAATGTAGAAATGGCTGAAATCATTATTCTTTTGTTTTTTTAATCGTGCTCGTTTATGATGTTTTATACTCATAAATTACTTAAAAACATTTCTATAGATCGAATTATTTTTATAACTATATAATTTTACTTAGGTTTCTCATTTCTTTTGGACAGGTATTATTGACATGTATTATGCACTTAATATCGATTTGTAATATCAAAGAAAAAAAAAAAGATTAAAAACAGAATAGATTTTTTTTTGTCTTTTGTCTAATATGAAATATAGAAATTATGACTAATAGATCAAAACTCTATAGGTTTTCGTGACATTCTATCTTTTTTGTGAAACACGATCTACACTAAGTGTTGACGTATAGGGATAGAAATTAGAACCTTCTGCACACAGACTTTATATCAATAATGTCTTGTTATAATATATAAGCTATTTATTGGATGTGTGAAAGATTAAGTAAAAGCATAGTGAAGAAATCTGTCCCAAAATAGATAGAATAAAATAATCTTTGTGTGATTAACACCAGCAACTACATCCTGTTTCATCATTTAATCCCGCAGAGATTGCTCTAACAGGTTTTTCTTATTATATCTATAAAATGATCTTACGTATATGAAAGTGTTCATAATTAAAAGGTCTCCAATTGATCCACACCGTTTTCAATGATATTTTGTCCATATGTCGGAGACAATATTCTAAGAAAAATCCTAAGAAAATTTGTGCCCATGGACCTTCCTTCAAAAGTTATGACCATTTTATTGATTTTTTCACCTAGTACAAGTTATATAGGGAAAAATTGAACAATGGAATTTCAATTTGAAATTTTGCTCATATGTAGCTCTTGTGGTCATTAGAACATTCTAAAAGTTTCAGCGGAAAAAATGTTTCCTTCTCGAGATATTGATTCATAAAAATTTGTCTTATAATCTACAAAGTTCTGAAAGACTAAATTTTTTTAAGATTGAATATCTCCAAAAGGAAACATTTTTTCCGCTGAAACTTTTCGAGTGTTCTAATGACCACAAGAGTTACATATGAGCAAAATTTCAAATTGAAATTCCATTGTTCAATTTTTCCCTATATATCTTGTATTAGGTGGAAAAATCAGTAAAATAGTCATAATCTTCGAAGGAAGGCTCATGGTCACAAATCTTCTTAGGATTTTTCTTAGAATACTGTCTCTGACATATGGACAAAATATCATTGAAAACAGCGTGGATCAATTGGTGACCTTCCCTCGTTAGAGATATTCTCAAACGTAGTTCTTCAATTGACATATATCCGTTGAGTATTGTAATAAGAATTGCCTAATAGGAAAACTGTAGGTATACATCATTGATATTCTTCATCTTTTAATTTTGCCTAATAATACTTTGTAAATGTTTTTTTCTTATAGAATATAATGAATTTACTGGTGAATGTTATTGTTTATCAACATTTAATAATCAACATCGTTTAATAACAACTAATCAAAAATGTACAGAAATAATTTTCAATAATGATAATCTAAGAAAAAATTCTACTACAATTTATCGAACTAGTTTTATTGATTTTGGAAATCATCTTGAAAAACGTCGTCAAACACAAAATAATACTCAAACAACAATTGTTTTTTTTCTAACAGTTGGTGGTAGAAAAAATCTTCGACAAATCAAACGATTATTACGTGCTATTTATTCACGACAACATTATTATCTAATACATGTTGATAGCGTATGTATTTATAAGAAAAAGACATTTTTTTTTTGTAATATAAAATACAATTAATTTTGTGTTAGTACAGCGTGAAAATTATTTATATCAAGAATTATTAATATTATCAAAAAGAATTTCAAATATTCATTTAACTAATAAACGTTATCCAACAACATGGGGTGCATCAACATTATTAACTGCACATTTAGATGGATTTAAACAAATATTTGATGAATTAAAATGGAATTTTTCTTTTGTACTTAATTTAAGTGAAACTGATTTTCCATTAAAGTATAATTCAATTTTTCAATAATAATAAAATTTATTGTTCAATATTTATAATTTAGACCTATTCAAGTTTTAACAACTTTTCTATCAATGTATACATCATATAATTTTCTTCGTTCACATAGTCGAGAACCATATAAGTATATTTATTTATATTTTTTTAAATCAGATTTTGTTATCCATTTTCAATTAAAGATTTATTAAATCTCAAGGACTTTTTCATACATTTATTCATTGTAATGATTATATGTATCGAATTGGACCAAGATCATTAATTCAAAGTATAAAATTTTGTTTAATTAGCAGAAAAAAAAAAAGAAAAATCTTTATTAAATTCTATAAATTTTTTAGATATTATTTATGATGGTGGATCTGATTGGTATGTATTAAATCGTGAATTTGTATATTATGTAACATATGGTAATGATGAACTTATAAATGGTCTTCGACATACATTCAATTATTCATTATTACCTTGTGAGGTTTGTTTGACATGTAAAAAAAAAAAAATTATAAATTTAAAAAAAACAAATTTTCTTTTAGAGTTTCTTTCATACTGTATTAAGTAATAGTATTTATTGTGATACATATATTCGAAATAATTTACGTCTTGTACATTGGAATCGAGAACGTGGATGTAAATGTCAACATAAAAATGTCGTAGATTGGTGTGGTTGTTCACCAATTATTTATAGAAATATTGATAAAACAACATTGAATGTAAGATAATTTACAAAAAAAAAAAAAGATTATATTTTAATGTACTATTCAAGATTCTTATATTATGAAATAGAATAGAAGTAAATATTTAATAGTAATTTAAAAGAAAAGCAAATACAAATCTGAAGACTTTTATATACATAGAAAATAATATTAGATATAAAATATTTATACGTTTTTAGGAAATTTTATTGATTTTGATACCTAAGAAAAATTCTTTATGACTTCTGATTTTTTTTTCTTTTTATCGGTGAACTGCATACAGATATTTCATATATTAACATTTGAATATGTTGAATTTCGATTTTGAGAGAGTGATAAATCTAAAATGTATACTTGTTAAGTTTTAGAAGCTTTTCATCAGCAAGAAAAACTGACGAAAACAAACATCTATTTACAACATGAGGAGTCCTTGAAGTTATTGCAATCGGGTTTTTGATAACTGACAAAAATCATACCACGATTTACTAGTAGAATATTGAACATTCATCGATACTCAGATGGGCATAAAACAGTAGTCACCAACTTATCTACTCTCTATAGTGGGCAAAATCAGGTGACACAATAGTAAATACATCAACTATTGATTAACAGTTCAAAAGTGATCTAATCTATTAAATTAAATAAGATGTCTTCGCAGGAATAACGACTTTTATGATCTTCGCTAAAGATTAATGAAATTTCTTTGAATCTTAATCAGTGCACAGAGATATGCCCAAGACCATCATGTTTGAATTTAGGGAATCAGTTAGCAAAACAATAAAACAATAAAATGCTAGAACTCCACTGGAGAAGTCATCCCCCCGACTTTCTCTATTCGGGAGCACTCTTGTTAGTACAACAAACAATTTTTACTCAGTATAACCGGATTTAAAAATTTATTTGCAACTTCTATTGATTGATAGAAGCGTTCGTGTTCAGTAAATTTCATTAAACTTTAAAAATCTCTATTTTTTGTATATTTAATATTTTCTTTCTTTCTAGGATACAATTGATAAGCCTTTTTTTTTCGCTCGTAAATTTGATCCAACTATTGATGAAACAATTCTTGATTGGATCGATGAAAAAATCTCACGACGAGATTTATCTAATAGTAAAATATTCAAATTTTAATCTAAATAAAAACAAAATCATAAAATCTTTTAGGTGCTTTTTATTTACAAAATATTTATCATATAAATGATGATACAAATAATTTAAATAATGTATTAAAATTAATCGATTCTTATGCACGTACAATACTTATTGATTATCAAGAACATCGACGTAATTGTTTTCGTGATGATACTATTCAATTAGAACAAATTCATTCAGTATTTCAATTAAGTTTATATCAAGGTTATTCATTACAATATAAATTTAATGATGGAGAACAAATTGAATTATTAATTCAATTAAATTTATTAACTACTATTAATTCAAAACAGGTTAAAAGATTTGAAGTAAATATTTTCAAAAATAATTTATTATTATATTCAACAAACTTTACTTTTTTTTTTTCTAGATTGGTCAAGAATTAGATAGTAAAGAAATTGTTTTTATTGATTGCAGTAGAACATTTATTGAACCAAAATTAGTCCGAGTTCTTATTGAATGGGAATCTATGACAGATAATAATACATCTTTAGTTATTAATAGTCCTAATGGTATGATTATCTAATTTATAAAAAGTCTTTTTTATGTTACTTATGAGAGCATCCATGAGAATACTAAGGATCATCTTAGTATACGACGCACTGGTTAGAATTTAAAGTTTTGATTTTTTATGCGCGTTTGAAAGATCATCATCTGAAATCATCAAACTCAAATTTTTAACTCATCTAGAGGTACTATGGTAAAACTAGTTAATATCGACTTTCGGACACTATCAACCTACTATCAAGAAAGTAATCAAAAATCGTTCTATAAATGTTCTTCGACGAATCAGAGAACTTTTCGTGCAATATACTAAAAGAGAAAGTATAAATAACCAAAAAAAGAATGAGCTATTTAAATACTTACATATCATACATTTACTGGAGTTTTGTAGTTCAATACGAGTGAGAAAGGTGACAATTTACGAGTCTATAACGGTCGATGTTTGACAGTATATCTGCTATCATTTTTTGAAAACAAAAGACACCAAGCTGAATTTTTTATATATTATGTAACTTTTCATTCTCTACAAAATGGTAAAAAATATTGAAAAAAAAGTTTACTTTCGGGACGAAATGGAATTCATATTTCTCTTCTACATTGCGATTTTTCAAAAAAAGAAAAAAAAAAGACATTTTCATTAGTTTTCATTGTTATGATATGGTTGTAAAGTAAAATAAATGTGACATTTGGAATTAGCTTTCAACACTACATTAAATCAAATAAATTTTAGATAAATTTTTTGCCTGTGAAAAATCATCTGTAGTCCTCCAGGAATTATTTTTCGCAGGAAAGAGGTTTCTCTAAAATGTATTTAGCTAAATGTAATCTTTGACACTGATTCCAAATGTTACATTTATTTTGCTTTACAATTGTGTCATGGCAGTGAGAACTGCTACAAATGTTTCTTATTTCTTTTGAAAAATCACTATGTAGGAGAGAGAGAGAGATGTGAATCCGATTTTGTCCCGAAGGTAAACTTTTTCCAAGATTTTTCTATCATTTTGTAGAGAATAAAAAGTTCATAATATATTAAAAAAATTCAGTCTAACGTCTTTCGATTTCAAAATTTAGCAGCATATATACTATCAAACACCGACTATTATGAACTCGTAAATGGTCACCTTTCTCACTTGTATTGCACTATAAAACCGCAGTAAATATATGATATGTAAGAATTTGAATAGCTCAGCTTTTTCAGCTATTGATACTGTGTCTTGTAGTATATTGTACGAAAAATTTTCTGACTTGTTGAAACATAATCCTAATAATCATTGATGGAACGATTTTTGACTACTATCTTGATAGTAGATTGATAGTGTTCAAAAGTCGGTATTGACTAACTCTACCATAGTATCTAAGAATGAGTTAAAAATTTGAGTTTGATGGTTTCAGATAATGGACTTTCAAATGCACATAAAAAAAAATCAAAATTTTAAATTTTGCCTAATGTCTCGATTCCTTGGTCTTTTCATAGATGTTCTTTTATGTATTTGATATTTGAATAGGTGCTGTACTTCAACGAGTAAAACTTCATCCATCCATAGAACCTCTTATTATTGATATATTTTTTCCGGTGGTATCTTCACCAAATATGATTGGTATATGGCAAATGTCAATTGTTAAAGAAAATCATGAGAATTTTTTAGCTTCATTAAATTTTCTTATTTTATTATCTAATGAAGATCAATCACTAAATATACAATATTTAACAATAATAAAAAAATTTTGGTCTATATCAAATATGTGTACAACAAAAATAAATTCATCTTTATGTCATGATTTATCAAATCAAACAAAAATAACAGCTATTAATGATTGTTTTCAACAACGATGGAGTTATTTCTTTTATGACATTAAGTCAGATTGGTGAAAATCTTTCTTTCGTTTTTCGTCTTTTTGATGTTCATAATAATAAAGAGATAAATTATATCACGCATTATGTCTTATAATATAATCGTTAATGTCAGTTCTTTCGTTTTTTTTTTGTTGTATTTTGTTAAAGAACTGAATATAAGAATACATGCGTAACAATTTGTGGCATTGAATAAAGATAAGAAGTAATACAAGCATTATTCTTTCTTAAAATATTACGTAAGAAAAAAAAAGAAAAGATGCAGAATATGTAAAATGATATGTGTCCTTCTAGTGTGACAGCTGAGAAATTTTACTGAATAATAGATCAGGTTTGTTAATAAGTTCGAATTGGTTTTATCATTTATATGATATTCATTTTTGGATATATTTAGTAAGTTTTAATATAGATCGGAACTTCTTTTAAGGAATTTTGATTTTTTTAATTTTAGACATAAGACATCTAATTGATTTATTGAGAAGGAAAGTCAAAGACGTAGTATTGAATAGAAATTTCCATGAATATTATTCATTACAGTGCTATGAAAAATTATAGAATTATCTTCCGGCTTTGATTTCTTTCGAATTTTATTCTTATTCGATATCTCTTTTTTCGTTTCAAATTCACTGTCAATAAATAGATTCATTTGCGCTCTTTCCATATTTATTGAAATAAATACTGAAAGAGCACATATAAATCTATATACTGATGGTGAATACAACAAAGTAAATCAAGTATAAACTAGTTTGTTCAGTACAATGAGTAGAACATTTTATATGAAATGTCCGTTTTTCATAGTTGAACTGTATGAACATACTTCAACAACTTAAACTATAATCATTTCATTACAAATATTCATTTTAATTTATTATAACTATTACCGATTAAGAAGAACACTTCGTATCAAATGTTATTTTCATCGAATTTTAGACAATGATACATATGTTTAATCTAAAATACTATGTTATATCTGAGAATCATTGATTTTTTTTTTGTTCTATAATTATCCAAATTAGATTGCAAAAACTTTATTCAATAGAAGAAAAGTTCTTTTCTTTTTATTTTGTTTGAATGTTTATATAATCTACATAAATCGATTTATAAAAAAATAAAATTTGAATGATGAATTTTCAATGACAATAAATTTGAAACATGAACAATGTTAAATGAAATTTTATTTATTGCTAATCAAAATGAAAAAGAAGATAATTGAATGTTCGATAAATACTTTTTTCTGTTGAAAAGGAATTTAATGAAGAATTTTTTTGCAGGAAATAGAATACTACTTTAAAATTCTATATAATAGAAGATATAGGAAGTACATTTACTCGTGAAATCATAGTTTTTATTTCGAGATAATTACGTGGAAATAATGATTCTTTTATTTGTGGTCAATTGAATAGAAAATAGACAGTAAAGTTAGAATCGATCCATGTCTTTTTGACACCAAACAGTAGATCTTGTTGAACTCGAATCGTACCTTGATACTTTCAATGAAAATTTCCAATCGGAATTGGATAGTGGCTCAGAAGATACTAGATATTTGTTTCCGATGACTAGCGGACCCTACACATTTCTCAGACTAATAGAGCCTACCAGATCTGATCGAGTTTGGATCTGAGACCGATCCGATGGACTCTATCGAACAGAAGCAACCTGGTTTTTTAAAAAACTCAAAACCGACTTGGTTTCATCTTTAATAAACAGAAACGAAAAGATTTTTAGAAGTCTTAACTCTTAATTACCAAAAAAAAAACAAATCTCTCAATCTCAAATTCATAATATTGAAAGAAATACAATTGGGCATATTCGCTGATGCTTGTTTGTAGGTTTCAATTTAATTTCAAATGCCAATGATTAATTCAAAATTGAAAAATTCAAGACATAAGCATTGTTTCTCATGTTTATTTCGACGTAAAAAAACTTCATCAATTGATTCTTATCAATATACAATGCATTTTCGTAAGTATTTATTAGATTTAGTTTTTATTTTTATTAACTTTTCTTTTTAAGCACGATTATCTATAACACTCCCACCATTTGTTCCAATGTTAATGTCTTATCGATGGTACGTTCTTTTTTTTCGTTACATTCATAGAATGTTTGTATTTGAATATTTCGAGTAAACAAATATGTTTTACCGTTCATGTAATTACTGACGAGAAGAATAAATAACATTATATTCGAAAAGAAAAAAAAAAGATAGAGATCGAAAAGTAAGATTATAGATCGAAAAGACGGATTAAGATTATATTTGTACGATCAAAATAAACAATCGGTTTTTTTGAAGCACGTTCAACAAAACATAACTACCAACAGTCATTCGATTGCCGATTAATTATCATACAACTATTTTACGTCTTCGTCTTCTTCTTCTTCGCTTTCTGTATGTGAATAGACGATTATTACTAGTGTGTCAAGGTCAAAAAAAAAAAAGGTGAGACAGACGTATTACTATTATTATATGTCTCGTCTTTGAACATGTTTATTCTCTATGATTCAACATTATTTATTATAATTGTTATATTTAAAAAAATTGAAACAAATCAATCAAATAACAACCAAAATAAATATTCTTCTATTATTATTATTATTATTAATATGTGGTTTATTTCACGTTGTATAAGTATTGATTCACTGAATTCATGTTTTCAGCAACAAAAAAATAAAATAAGTCATGATTTTTGTTTACGTAGAGAAAAACCAGATATTTTTACAACAAGGTGAGAATCATATTGATTTATTGCTTTCTTTTTTTTTTATGAATGACTTTTATATTCATTATTTAACATGATTATCTTTTATAAAACGTTTATATATCGTATTTAGTTAATGGATTATTTTAACTATCAAAAATCGATGAGCAATAGTATTAGATAACAATTGTTATAAGGTATCATTGTTTCGATGAAGAATTTCATAATCCAAAAAAAGAACATGTCCATTGTGTATACATATCATTCATAAGAGAATATGTCATTTGATCTAATCATAACGATGATCTGTTTTATATCCAAATCTATTGTAGGAATATCTATTATTGCATACTATAAGAAGACTTGTTTAAGAGGTTTGATTATTGATTTTTAATAACTCTTTAGTTTTATTACTTTACAAGTTATTGAAAAATAACAAATAGAGAGAAGAGCGCCCTGAATTTGAGACACTAGTACGTTCAGTGGTTATATCTCATAATTCATTATATAAGTAATTTGTATAGAAGGTAATATAATATTAAATGATTAGATTCAAATAAAAAAAAAATGTGTTCGATTATATGTAACAAATCGATGTTTAGTAAATAGATGAATGCAGAATGTATTTGTCTTGCTTAACTAATGTTGTCTTTCATGCTTTAATGTTTCCAGTTCTTTTATTTGACTATGAAAATTCTTGCAAATATGAGAATGGAATATAAATGACTTATATTAACTTTAATATCTTTTCTTTTTCTGTAACAAAAAAAAAAAAAATTTTATTTTTATCAAAGACAAAAATATTAGAAAGAATTTTTTAAAAATCATTTTTAAATATTTTATATAGATTGACAAAACAAAAAAAAAAAAAAATCTTTTTATTATACAAAAGAATGTTTTTTGTTTTTAATATTTCTTCGATAAGATCATTTCTGTCTTTTCGCTCTACTTAAAGTCTATTTCTTCTCGAAAATATTTGATTAATTGCATATTATTGCAATTTCTATCGACGTCAAAAATGACATATGCAAATAGTAGATTCTGATTAGACTTGTAAAATAGCTTAAGTATGAAGGAAATTACTTATCATAAAAATATTTACTAAGGTTATAACATATAAACAAAATTTTTCAAGTCATTTTTAGTCCATAAAAACAACATAAAAGAATCTTTTTTATTTCGATTGATTGATATAATAAAGATGTTTTTTGATGAATCTTTTTAAAAAAAAGAATCATTTCTCATTATTTATAGGAATGATGAAAATGATTGTGAACCATTAGCTAAAAAATCTACACATAATAATAATAATAATAATAATACTAATCATCATCGTCAACATATTCGTCGACGTATACCAAAACGTTATAGTAATATTATTGGTTCATTTACAAGAAAAAATTTTTCATTAGAAAAAGATTCAATTAATCGTGAAAAACAAACTATTCTTCCATTATTTCAATCTAATCATTTTTCAACAACAAAAACAAAAAATTCTCGTCATCATCATCATCATCATTCATTAAAATCTATAAATGAAAAAATTTATTGTTTTAATAAAAATAAAAAAAAATCTCATGAAATAAAAGATCATTATTCTAATCATACAATAAAACATAATAATATTCTTGCACAACGTATGCAAGCAGCAATGAGTAGTGAATTAATGAATTCACTTGATCGAAATTTTGTTTTTGGTTATAATAAACAATCAACAACAAATTCTATTATAACTCGTTCACATTCATTTGATATTTGTACATCTTATAATGATAAATCTGATGAAATTTCTTATCATAATTTTAAATCAAAAATTAAAAATAATTTTAATAAAGAAGATATTTCTATACATGTACCAACACCTGATTATGATGAACAAAATGATGATATTATTATACAAACATTAAATATAGAAAATGATATTAATGAAGAACCTATTATTGATTATGATGATTCAAAATCAATTATTAAATATGAATTAGATGATGAATCAAATCATGAAATTTTATCATCATTTATTATTCAACAAATATCAATAAATAATAATAAAGAACAAATACCTATACCACCACCATTACCTAATCTAGATAATAAACAAAAGAAAATAACATTTCATTGTCGTACTATTGCTGATAAATTATCATCTGATCATAAACTTATTCTTAAAGATGATGATGATGATGATGATGATGATGATTTAAAACAATCAGGTAAATAATAATTTTTTTTAAAAATATATCTAAAATAATATATATTTCTTTTATAGATTCATTAAAAATATCTTATCATAATATATCAAAAGATTTAATATTAAATAAAAATTCACAATCATTATCATATACATATTCACCTGATGAATCTATATCACAATTAATTAATCATGAAACAAATTTAAAAATATTATGTCAAAATCCATCAATAACAGATGAACAAATTCAACATTGTTTATCATCATCATCAGTAGGTACATCAATTGATATTGATTATGATGACGAACATCGTTCATCATCATCAAAACTTTATAATGATTATAAAAAACAAACATCATTAATAAGTATACCAACAAGTACAATTCATAGTCATTCTATTATAATACAACCAATGCATACACATTTTGGATTACGTTCATCAACATCATCGACATCAACAAATGAAAAATTAACAGACATGACTTTACCAAGCAAACAAATGAACGTGTGTGTTATTAATCAACTAAATGAACATTTATCAACACGTTTCCGTAAGCAACAGCAAGATTTATGTTCAAATAATTTTAATAATTCTGATAATAATAATAATAATTATCAAAGTTACAATTCATCACAAGAACATATGTCGGAAAATAATAATAATAATATTCAATTAAATATTTATAATGAATCAAAAGATGTACCAGTGACTAATTCAATATATTCATCTTCAATACCTCCACCACCACCACCACCACCACCGTAAGTAATTCATATGAATATTGAGATTTTATAATAAATTCTGAAAATAGATTATGTTTTTTCTGGTTTGTTCATGAAAAATTTTGTTTGATACGTTATGCAATATAAAATCATCTATTTCCAAATGTCACTAAGAATATTTGTCATTAATATAGATAACAAAAAAAAAAAGATTTTTGTAATATGATTCATAATCATTGATGTTCTCTAGTATTGTTTGTTTTTTTTTTCAGTCTTATCAAAATTATTTATTAATCTTCAGTTTATATGAACTTTAGATGATAGATAATTGTCTATTTAATATGAATGAATCCATCAAGGTTAACAAAATCTTTAATGTCATTCAATAATATTCAAATATATATATATATATATTTTAATATTAGACAAAAAAGAAAAAACCTTGTTACCTATCACGTGTTTGTGCTTAAAGCAACTAACATGATTTCCTTGAGAGAATATAAAAATAATCATAAGATGAGCCGACTTAATCCATTTTCTTTATTTTAACAGTGAGTGTTATAATCATTTCTCAGTTAACACCCAGAATGAATTCATATTGTCGATGCCATTCATAAATATGCATTTGATTATAAAATAAATCCTTAATATTATTCATGTTAATTTTTAAATAGTATTAAATTGCGATCTAGATGTTTATTGTATTTGATAGTATCAGTTGTTTGTTTGTTTTTTTTTTCTTTTTCTAATCTCGTTCTATATCAGATTACCTGTTGATGGTTTTCATTCCATAATACCAACTATAAATCGTTCAACTAATAATTATCAACGAACATCAATTATGACATTACCACGTGAAATAAATAATTCAACTATACCTTGTAGTACTGGTACATCAACAATATCAAGTAATTTATCTGATACACGAATTTTACGTGAAGTAAGTTTTCTTTCTAAAATAATCAAAAAACTAAAAATTTCATTTAGTTACGTGAAAATCCATTATTTACACGTGCAAAACAACAACTTGAAATTGAACCTGGTTCAAATGGTCGACGATCAGGTCGTCGATTAATTGGATCAACATTAAATATAACAAATACTGAAACAGTATCATATATACAATTAGATAATTATACAAAAACAAATTTAAAAAAATCATATGAAACAACAACAAATCCACAACAATTAGAAACAATAATAATGCTTCCTAATGAATTAAATTCTATACTTGGAAAACGAACGAAATCAACAAATGATATTAATCAAATAAAATCTCGTCCATGTACAAAATCATTAATACAAACACAATGTCGACAATCCGAACTTGAACTTATTTTTCAAGTAAAAAAATTTTTTTGTTTTTCTCTCTCTCTCTCTCTCTCTTTTTAATATTATTTATTAATTATTTACTTTATTTTTACATATTAAGAAACGTGCTCAACGAAGCGAACAAAATTTGATGTGACGTGTTTCCTTAATACGTGCGTGTATAAAAGCAAAACATGATTCAGTCAATCATAAACGATTTAGTTATTGTTCCTATTATTCAAATGAAATCAACATGATGGAAAAAAAATGAGAAGAAAAAGATCTAACTTCTTAATACTTCAATATCCGTCATTAACAAATTTCTTTTTTGTTTTGTGTGTGTGTGTGTTTGAATTAATTTGTTTTTTTTTTTCGTCTGGCCTTTTTTTTTGGTGTTCTCATGTCTTGAAATAAATAAACCAAGAAAAGTTTGAATGTGCATAGATATATATATATATCATACTTATTTTTTCGTCTTTTTTTTTTCACAGATTATCATATAATTTTTACATACAAAGGGTAAAGAATAATTTGTATAGTATATATATATATAAGAAACAAGTGGCACTCGGGCGTTGCGAAATTTTTCTACGATACATTAAATGAACAAAAAAAGAGGAAAAAAAAAGACATTTTATCAGACACATGTCACCCGAGAAACGGCAACATCGTGATAAGTACAATAATCAACAAGTATATTATTGGGTGATGAAGTTTTCGAGGATGTCGCAGATGATGAATGTTTATTATCATGATCTTGTCGTATTGCATTTGATCTACAACAATTTGTTAAAAATGAAATACGTGAATTTTTTGTTTGAATTTTAGTTTGAACATTTTTTGAAGATCTATGTTGTTGTTGAATTTTATTTTGTATATTTGGTCCTATCATTGTTGATGATAATAATGATGGCATCATTTGTTGTTTATTTAGATTAATATGATTATAATCTGAACCTGAATCAATCGCTTCTTTTGAAATATATTTTTCTGGTGTACGACGATACCGTAATAAATGTAGATTATGATAAGACATTAATAAATTTCGTATACGTATTGGAAAACATCGACATAAATATTTAATAAATGCTCGACGAAATTCACGTGATGAATAAGCATATATAATCGGATTGACACTAAAAAAGAAGAAAAAGAAGAAGTAGGAACAAGAATAAGAACAACAAGAATAAGAAAAAGAAGCAAAAGAAGAAAAAAAAAATGTCTCTAATAGTTCATAGTTATTGTATTTTGTTTTTGTTTTTTTTTTTTTTTTTGTCACAATTTTTATACCTTGAATTAACATAACCTAACCATGTAAACATTTGAAAGACAAGTTCATTTCCAGTTAAAAATTTTTCTATTGACGTTAAATATGTTTTTCGTTGTATAAATAATTTTGCTATTGCTGTTAATGGATTATAGACAAAAAAAGGTAACCAACATATAACAAATATTCCCATAACATAAGCTAATGTTATTGTTGCTTTTTGTTCTTTAGAAAATTTTGCTAAACGTTTACCAAATGATGTACCACTTGTACTTGATGTTGTATTTGTTTTTTGTAAACGTGATGTTTCATATGATGATATTGTATCTTGTGAATGAATTTGTTTTAAATTTAAATTATTTATTTTTAATTGATGATTATCATTTGATATTGTTAATGTTGTTGTTGATGGTGCTAATAATGTTGGCATTGAAAGACGTGATAATGATGAATTTTGATAATCACTTAAAAAAGCTCCACTTATTGATTTTTTAATTTGATTTGAAAATTTTTTTGTTGGTAAATTTAAATGTTCATCTAAATTTGATGAACGTGTTCCTTCAGTATGAATTATTGTTGATAATGAATCACGTGTTGATGATGGTATACCATGATATTTACCACGATGTATACGTAAACATATATCAGCTGATGGTTCTATTGTTGTATCATCATTTTTTAAACCTTTTTTTTTCTTTTTTCTTTCTGGTGATGCTAATTTAATACCTGTTTTAAATGCATGTAATTGTTTAATAGCAGCACGATATATTCTTATATAAACAAAAATCATAACAAATAAAGGTATATAAAATGAAATTAATGATGAAAATACAATATAATATATATCATCAGGAAAAAGACAACGATGTGTTTCATATTGACGTACAACAAGACGCCAATAAGCTATAGCAGGAAATGAAATTAAACCTAAATTATAATGAATAGGAAAAAATAAATTTTCTGTTTTTTTTTGGATTTTATATTTATTCTAATAAGATTATATTTATTTACCTGAACATAACCAAACAGCAACAAGTAAATATGGCCATCGTTTAACAAAAAATGTTTGATGATAAGATATTGGATTTGTTATTGCAGAATAACGATCTAATGCAATAACACATAAATCAAGTATTGATGCTGTACTTGCACATACATCTATTGAATGCCAAAGATCACAACATGTCTTACCAAATGGCCAATAGTCACCATATATAACTTGTAGAATAGAAAATGGCATAACAATTAAACCGACAAATAAATCGGCACATGCTAATGATGCCATATAATAATATGTAGCTAAAGAAAGAGAAAAAAAAAACCATACAAATCTATGATAATCGAATATGAAGATTAAATGAGTAAGAATTCGAATCTAAATTTAGATTTTGTTATTAATGATTGATACTTCCTATTGTAAAATTAAACATGGATGAATTATTTAAATACTAGCATAACCAGATGATCATATGTAATAGAATAGTTCCCTATGATTTTGAGAAAAATCCTTGACATAGAATGTCAATAATAGTAATTATTAGGTTTTGCTTTCTTCCGTTGATAGGATAAAGACAATTAGTAGTAAGGCATTGGTCGGTCTAGTGCATTCTTAATTATGTCACTATATTTAAATGAAACTCAGTTGTTGATTTTTGATAACTAGACTATGATGATTAATAAGATATCCCATGAGATTATTATTGATCAAACTTATTAAAAAAAATAGAAACATTAAGAATGATAATCAATATTTATGTGGACATAAACTGAATACTTGATTTATTGGTCTATTCTGATTATGCAGGTGAAAATAAAAAAAAAACAAAGTTTTTCTTTACTTATTAAATAGAACGTATATAAGAAGTTTTTTTTTTGTTTGACAAAAGATTCTTTAAGATTTATATGTATAAACTATTGATATAGATAATTTAGATGTATCAATTATAAATGATAATATACCTGATTTTAAATAACGTTCTTGAACAACAGCATATATAACAAGACCATTACCAAAAACGGTAATAAAACAAAATAAAGTTAAAAAAATACCCAATGCTGAATGACCTAATTGAATATTTTGTGTAATTTCTAATGATGATATATTATTAATAGTATAATTTGAATGATTTATATTTGATTGAATAATTGTATGAATAGTTGTTGAAGTTAAATTAAGAAAAAATTTTTGAGTTGTCGAACTGATGGTAATGAACATTGGATTTTTGTTTCAAACTGAATTGATAATAATAATAATAATAATAATAATGATAACAACAATAAAATATATAAAAGATCATTAAACATTTGACGGCATTCGTCATAATTTTTAGTCAACTTAATTGTTCTTGTTTTTTAATCATTATTCATTTAACTATATATCTAAAATCAAATCAAAAATCAAATTCAAATATATTTATTGATTTGTTCTTTTTTATGACAAATAACTAAGCGAATATGGCTAATGATCAAATATCTGCAAAGTAGAAAAGGTTAACACTGTTGATATCGATATATATATATATAGATCTTTATCGATAATAACAACAACACACTATCAAGCAAAATCGAATGCCATGGTGCCTTTAATCACAGTATGAGTTGAGCTATCAATACAATCATCGGGAAAACACATGCAAAAAATTGCCTCAAGTAGATTATTACTGTATAGTGTCAATCATTAGTTTCCCCTTTTTTTTTTATCGTCCGATAAAAACGAACATAGTAATTAAAGTTTAACTTAAAAGATAAAAACCAACAAAAATTAAACTTAACTCATACCTGTAGTTATCTGTTCAAATCAAAGACAGGTATTCAATTGTTACTCGTCTTTTTTTAATGCTAGTCGTATGTATTCTAAAGTAAATCGTAATTGAGTCTGCATGTTCTTCTCAGAAAGAGTTGCTTCCTATTCTCTAATCGAGCGCATAACGAAGACAGAGAGAAAAGAATAGTATGAGAGCAATAGAGAAGGAGAGAGAGAGAAACCCATACAATATATGCGGTGTGGTATTTGTCGATCGAGTTTTTCCAGAAGAGAATGAAGAAGAATCAGAGAAGCGTTTCAATATTCCAATAATCTGCGAAACAAGAAGAAGAAGAAGGAGAATAAGAAAGAAAAAATGATTGAACACGCCTTGCTTCATTTTGAGCAATAAGCAATAGATAATCAAGTGCCGTTTGCTAGTTGCCACTTCTTTTCTTTTTTTTTTATGTATGCTCTTTGTCTCAAGGCATTCTTTTTTTTTGTTATAACTACTCAAACTTGACAAATATTTCATCATCATTTATATATATACCTCAAATTATATTATTTTCTATAGTGAATCTCTCTATGCATAGGATGATAGTAGTGGACTTGTCGAATCGATAGTAATGATAGAAGAGGAACTTAATGCAATTGTTGCACTCAGTCGCATTCAATGATATGATAACAAAAACAACTATGAGTACATTGTTTTTGGTTTCTTTCTCTTGTTGTTTTTTTTTTTCGTATTACTTTTGGCATAATACGAGATACATATATATTTATATAAAGAAATTTTAATATAAATAAAGATTTGATTTTATACAAGACAAAAATCTACTGAATACCTGATCAAATATTAGAATTTGTTTTTTCTTTGTTAAGTTGTCAAAGTTCAAGTCAAGTTGTTTTCTCTTTTTTTTTTTCTTATCGTCACTCAATATAAAAAGGATCATATTTCCGCTTGAGCAAGATTAAATGTAAATATCTCGGAAATGACTAACGTCTTAAATAATGTGTATATATATATATGACGGAAAATAAACTGTGTCAATAATCGTTATTATACAATTGCTTCGATTCCATCTATCGTTTCTAGTCTTTCTTATTGATCACGATACGAACGACAATCAAGACCAGTAATGGT